CTTCCAGGAACAGTACACGCTCTGAACCATCTCTCCAGCCCTTGTCAATCCAACTAAAGTGTTTCTTACCTTGTTGTCCAAGTTCTCACTGGTATCATCTAGGCTCTGTAAGGAGTGCCTGCCTGTGTTGACTGGTGGTGTGCCACAGTAGGAAGGAGAAATGACTTCCTTGGAGCAAAGTAAAGTTATCCTGGTCACCTGGGCTATTCAGGTCCTACATTGCTGGAAGTGTACCTGCCTGCAGCCAGTTGTCACTAACACAGCTCCCTGCTAGATCTTAAACTTGCACGGTCTACTCTTGGCTTCATAAACAGTCTCTTGAGCTTTTCTCTTTCCTACCTTTCTCTTCTTGTAGCTTTTTCTCTTTCCTACCTTTCTCTTCTTGTAGCAACAAATTCATAGCTACAAACCCAATCGGCAGAACTAAGAGACTGTTGAGATGTACCTCCTTGGTGCTCTCTGAAGCCTTGATGCCCTGGTTTATATTGCTTACTTTCTCAGTTCTCAAATTCATTTAACAAAAATTGTATGGAGCCAATCTTATATAGCTAGCAGTGTAGTAAAATCTGAGAAGAAAAAAATATTGGACCCAAAATTGAAGCATAGGTCTGGGTGGTGGATTATCAGGACAGATTACAAAGCAACTTCAAGGCTACTTATGTACCTGCTATGAGGGCCTGGACTAGGGGGGGTCTCCTAATTCAGGATGGGGGCACTGAATCTGGTTCTGTCTTAAAGAGCTAGCAGGGCAGTCAGCCAGGGAGGGAGTATAACTCAGATAATGGCTAGAGGTACTCTGGAAGCTACAATTAAGTTGGAGGTAGCTTCATGCAGCAGTCCCAAGAGGCTAGTTGTTTCAGCTGGTCTAACAAAAGTGCAAGCAATGGCAGCGAACCTTCCTTCTTCCAACGTCCCTATGTTGGCCTCAAGCAGAGTGTGTGGCCCAGATTAAAGGTGTGTACCACTACACCTGGATCTAGGACTTGCTTTGTCCCAGGCTGACCTTGAACTCAGAGATCTCCTTGCTTCAGTCTCCTGGGATTAAAGGCATGTACTATCTTGCCTGGACCCAAACTTTTCATGGCCACTATGCCTCAAGATCTCCATGCCAAGATCCAGGTCAGAAACTTTTGTCTTCCAGCTTCAAGATCTGAGTCACAGGTGAGCCCTCCAATTCTGGATTGTAGTTCATTCCAGATATAGTCAAGTTGACAATCAGGAATAGCCATTACAGATGGGCAACAGCTACCAAGAATATAGTGACAATGAAGGAGGCTGAGTAGGAAGACAAGTTGTATGGAGGTGGTACCACAATTCTCCAAGAGAGTGCAAGCAGCAGGTGTGCAGGGAAGCTGTATCAACGTGAGGTTATAGGAAGTTAGGCAGACATGTTTGTTGAAACTGAAGTCTTGGACTAAGAAGATGCCCTATAACCCCAAAGGCAATGAAGGAGGCTGGCAGGAAAAGGTCTTTACATAGTTAACTGCTCAATTAAGACTTTTGGTCAATTCATACTTTTATAACCAGCAAAAGCATATTTTGCATTTCTCTTCTAAACTTTGATAATTTCTCTTTTAAACAAGTCTAGACCATTTCACATACACAACAGTCTTCACTGTTACTTTCATTTGAGAATGGTTTAAGAGCACACTGAAGGCACAAGTAGAAACTCATCAGGTTGTGTACTTCAAACTTGGGAGGGGTTGGCTATGTACAGGTGATAGCTCTGACGCTTCAGCTAGAGTGCATAGCACCTCAAATAGTCCCTTGAATTAAGGGGGAGCAGATGGAAAGCTGTTATCTAGCTTGGTGTCTTCCTTGGGGGGTCTCAGCACTGTTAAGAGGTTAGGTCCCAGATGGCTGGGAATTATACTTTTTTTGTATAAAGACTAAAGGTGCCAGGGCAGTGGTGGCGCATGCCTTTAATCCTAGCACTTGGGAGGCAGAGACAGGTGGATTTCTGAGTTCGAGGCCAGCCTGGTCTACAGAGTGAGTTCCAGGACAGCCAGGGCTATACAGAGAAACCCTGTCTCGAAAAAACAAAAAAAAACAAAACAAACAAACAAAAAAAGACTAAAGGTGGTTGGCCACTATTGATTAACCTTTTACCCACAGCTAAATAGGTCATGATCTGATTAGGATTATTCACCAAGTCAACACTGACCTCAGGGGAACATGCCTTAGAGGCGTCAGAAACACTACTCAGTGCAATAGTACTCCACCCTACTGTCACCAAGCTCAACGAAATGTATACATTTTCCAAGTAGAGTACTTCCCATTTATCCTGACCACTAAGAGATGTCAGGTACTACAATGTCAACACCTTACTGACACAGGTGCCTAGCAAGCTGCCACTTAGTCATCAACATTGGTAAGTGGGATTTGCAGATGTGAAGGTTGGCTCATGGAAGCTTTGCTTTCTAGAGGAGAAATTTCTCAAGTGCTAATCAACATACTACCTTGAGCCTGATGCCTGTGGGAAGAGGTGAGTGGTCAGCAGGCTCTGTAGCTCTGAGGATGGTCCTGTGAATGGGCTTACCCTACTTCATGGAAACTGGCTATACACCTCTACTCAGGGCAAGCCCATTTGGGGGCTGCAAGAGACAAAAGCTAAGTGATACCAAAATGTTCCTGTTTTCTAAAGCCATTGTTTGATCTTACATGAGAGGACTTTAACTCAGAACTCCAAAGCTGAATAATACAAAACCACACGTAGAGAGCCGGAGAGATGGGTCAGTGCCCTTCCAAAGCACTGGAGGTCAAGTCCACCGCCCACATGCTGTCTTATGACCACAGTAATCCTAGTAACATGGGATCTGACACCCAGAATTAAATATATACACACATATATAAAACCCAAAATGTACAGAATTAGACACAAATTATAAGTTTGACTTTTATTGTATGGCAAATGTAGACCACACAACTTCAAAAGATGAATGCAGTGTTCACGTTCTCAAACATGTCCAATCTTAAGCATGACTGGAGGAATCACAAACAGATTTAGGCTCGGTAGATAGAAGAATGTATACTTTGGAGCTGGGGATGTAGCCAAACGGCTGAGCAATATGTGGAGCTCTGGGTTCGAATGCTAACACTGAAGGGTAAGAAAAAGAAAAAAAAAAAGAAGGAAAAAAACCAAAAACAAAAACACCCATGTTTTGAAACCTTTACCAATCAGGCAATGTGGGGAACCATGCCAGTTACAGACCCTCCAAAACAGGGCACCATACTACCTAACAATGAGACATTTGACTGGAATTAAGAAACTATCTACAGAACACAGTTTATTTAAAGTCTAAAACAAAAACCACTTCCTTTTAAAAAACAAACTGCATTGTTTTTACTGCATGAATACCTGGGGCTTCTCACAAATGCAGATTATCAACCTTCAGGCTCAATGGTTCAGATACACCAGTTTACTATATCAGAGGATAGATATATATAACAATTTGCTTTTAGAAAAAATTTTACATAAAAAAGAAAGCATTTACCAACACTCTTTAGTCCCCACAAGAGTTCTTTAGTCAGTATCTGGTGATAACCACACTTTTTGGAGAATATTCCAATATGCTGAGAGTGTAGCACCCTGCACCCTTCTGCTTACCATCGCACCTTCTGAGGCTTCTGCTCGTACTGCACCCACCAGGAACACATCTTTTAATGTCACCTATTTGGGGCTTTTTTCTGTGAGAGCAATTTGCCCCTGACCAAGAATCCATCATAATGAAGCCACTACTTGACCTAAACAGGCTTTGAAATAGAACTTTTTCAACTAACAAGAAAGGGATTTACTGGCTATGGGTATAATACTGTTTTTACATCAGTTCCTGCTTGGAAGGCTGGTGCTTCTAGCACACACAGTAGCAGTGAAGCTCGGGCACACTGTACACTGTAATATCCCTTCTTACCTGAACCGTGCACCAAGGTGGGTAGACCTGCCTTGGAAGCTACACTAAGCACGGGACACGGACACTTGGCCAATCAGGGCCCCATTTTCCTTTCTAAGAGGTTTCCCCTAGTCCTGAATTAAATGCAGTTTTACTGGTTGGTATATAACACACTGGCTCACGGCTCTGCATTTAGAGTCCAACTCGAGCTTATTTGGTTTGTTGTACATGCTTTATTAAAACGGTACTTGTATTTACAGCATCGCAGGAAGAGTCTCTCCCAAGGTGCTCTCACAGACATCCAGACTCACTCACACAGACATTCATACCGCGGCCCCACTCACCCACACCAGTGACATGTGAGGGTCAGACTCCTAAAATTAGGCAGCTGTTGGGGAAGAGTTGTTGGTTTTTCAATTTTTCTTGGAAAAGAAAAAAGCACAGGGGATGCATTTGGCCGTCACCATCTAGCTATGTTTGTGTACTAACACATGGCAGTTAACACTGAGTACACTCCTCTTCCATGCTACACACAGAATGACATCAGCCTCAGGCTCAATGCTGCTTGTAGTGACTTCTCAATTCACAGAGGGGCTTTCCCAAAAAGTAATTCAAGTTTATGGAAGTGAAATAAGGCACAATTAATATTGATTTGACCTAGCGGAAGGAAGGGAAAGAAATAAAACTGGTTTCAAATTATCTTAGCTGGGAACTGCTGACTTCAATCCACTGGAAACCCCTCTAACTTCCAAATCTTTCTTAGAAGGACATTTTCCCTCTTCCCTGACAAAGCCCAGAAAGAAAAGTTTGGGAATTCACGTTTGAATGTTTCAGTCGCCGGAAGTTCTTAAATGAAATGCAGCCCCCTCTCCCCTGGCCAGGGCTCTTCCCTTAACACAAATAAAACAGGCCTGTGGACAGGATCCCCTGCTTTCCAGAGACCTGCACAGTGAGTAGCAAATACCTATCTGGTTGTCTTTGATACTTTTTTGTTTTGTTTTAAAAGAGAGATATGGGAGAGGGTGGGGAAAAGAAAGGATGGCAGAGAGAGAGAGAGAGAGAGAGAGAGAGAGAGAGAGAGAGAGAGAGA